AATTTTTGTTTTTTAATTTTAATGTATTCTTATTTTTCTATACATTTTATTTTTGTAGTTGAAAAGTTTTTAGTTTGATAAAAATTTTCATTATGCTAAAATTATAAAATAGTTTTCTATATAATTTCTAAGAGTTGTTTTTTTAATTACCAATTCACCCCCCCCCCTCTTGGTTAGTATTGGGATAATTACTTTAGGTCTAACATTCTATATAGACTTTTAGTTTATCTACAAGAGTCAGATTTTTGAAAGTGCTCCGATGGCACTAGAAAGTGCTCTGATACCACTTGAAAGTTCGTTAGGGATGTTAAGCTCTTATGAACTGGCCCAAGGCTAATAATGAGATAGAGAGGTGAATCAGTATTTAAAACAAACACAATCTTAAATCCAAAAAACAAGATTCACCACAATCAAAACCAACGATGCGGAAATTAAAAGTGCGGAAGTAATAAAGAAAGAACACACCGAATTTATAGCGGTTCGGTCAAACCTTGACCTACGTCCACTCCTTGGAGGCACCCTCCAAGTATTGCACTAAAACAAGTATCTCTCATTTAGCCCCCACAACTAGGCGGAGAAGCCCTTACAAAATCACTTCCACCTTCCCCGGTGCGGCGGAGTCTCCGGGTCCTTTGACACCAAAGTGAACTTCTTCTTTGGTGAACTTCCCTCGAGACAAGCCTTGAATCCGACGGTATTAAGATGCAAGCCTGTCGGAGCAATCGTGTGGAATCACCCTCTACACTCCCTTGAGTGTCCCCTCACAGGATCTTCTCCCTCTCTCAGACTTCACTTGTTCCTCACTCCCTTTCAAGCTTTCTCTTCAAGTTTTCCCCACAAGAACAAAGCTACAATGGCTGCCAAAGACACTTACAAAGTATCATGTCATAGCTTAAATAGAAGATCTCAAAATGAGCTCATTAATGCAAGATGCCAACATTATCGTCCAGAAAGATACTAATATCGTCCTGTACGATCAGTGCAATTTAAGCCCAATCAGCCGGGACAATTTGAGACGATCAGAAGAAGTTTGTTCATATCGTTCAGGACGATAATATATCATCCTGGACGATCAGAACAAGTCGTGGAATATCATCCTGAACATCGTCCTGAAAAATAGCTATCCGGTGTCCAATCGTCTAGCACATCAGCCAGGACGATTTGTCGATCATCCAGGATGATTTGATCGTGAAATCAAGTCATAATTTCTTTCATTAAATTCCAAAGAAATTTTGAAAAAATTGACCTGAATCGTCCTGGACGATATTTTATAGTCCTGGACGATCCACCTGGACGATGTCCAAAAATAGGTTATTTCTAATTAGATCTGGCGGCAGATTCTTTCTGCTTTTGGACAGATCGTCCTGAACGATGTTACCAAAAATAGAAATCTTTAGGGAGCAACAGAAAATCTTCCAAGTTATAAAATATCAGGAGCCACACCAAATACAATAGACTCAAGAAAGGAAAAAGTGTACAAACTGACTCAGACCTAGTCTACTCAATCTTGAGCTGATTCCAAATTGCAGTCTGATCGTGTGGACCTGAAATGTTAGTAAATAAGGCCGTCGTAGAGAAATAAGAGTGTTTGCTATCATCAAAATTATAAACCATGAAAACAGATCCGCAATAATTTTGACTTAAGAATTGATGATGATCCAGTTTCATTTTCATAAGCCATAAAAAGTATGAATTCTAATAAGTGGTTAGCTGTCATGAAAGAAGAGTTAAAATCAATGGATCATAATAAAGTTTGGGATATTATTGAATTACCTGAAGGTTCCAAAAGATTTAGGTGTAAGTGACTCTAAAGGTAATATTGAATGATATAAGGCTAGACTTGTTGCCAAAGGTTTTGCTCTGAAAGATGGTGTTGACTAAAAAGAGTCATTTTTTCTAATTTCTAAGATTAAGAATTATTATAGTGATAGTAGCTCATTATGATTTAGATTTACATCAAATGGATGTGAAAATAACCTTTCTAAATGGGGATTTAGAGGAAGAAGTTTATATAGATTAGCCTAAGGGTTTTTCAGTTGAAGGAAAGGAAAATATGGTTTGTAAACATAAGAAATTAATATACAAACTTAAACAAGTTTCCCAACAATGGTATATTAAATTTAATAATACTATAACTTCCTTTGGATTTAAAGAAATCATTATTGATTGGTATATATATCTAAAGGTTAGTGTGAGCAAGTTCATATTTTTAATTTTGTATGTTGATGATATTTTGTTTGCTACTAATGATCTTGATTTATTATATGAAATAAAAAAAAATTCTCTCAAGAAACTTTGAAATGAAAGATATTGGTGAGGCATCATATATGATATGAATTGAAATATTCCATGATAGATCATAAGGATTATTAAGATTGTCTTAGAAATCATATATTAATAAAGTTTTTAAGAGATTTAAGATGAAAAAATGTTCAGCAAGCATTATTCAAATTCAGAAAGGAGATAAATTGAGCATATGAAATGCCCAAAGAATGAATTGGAACATAAAGAAATCGAACAAATTCCTTATAGATCTATTATTGGGAGTTTATTGTATGTTTAGACTTGTATTAGACCATATATTAGTGTTGTTGTTGGAATGTTGGGTAGATATCAAAGTAATCCAAGACTTGATCATTGGAAAACTACAAATAAGGTTTTATGATATCTACAAGGAACAAAAGAATACATGCTCAATTTTAGAAGATCTGATCACCTTGAGGTAGTAGGATATTCATATTCAGATTTTGTTGGATATCTGGATTCCAGAAAATCCACATTTGGCTATGTGTTTCTTTTAAGTAGATGAGCAATATCTTAGAAGAGTGTGAAGCAGTCCGTCATTACTACATCCACAATGGAAGCTGAATTTGTGGCATGTTTTGAGGCTATAATTCAAGGATTATGGTTGCAGAATCTTATTTCAGGACTTGGAGCTATTGATAGTATTGCCTAGCCATTGAAGATTTATTGTGATAATATCATAGCAGTCTTCTTTTTTAAGGACGATAATTATTCAAAAGGGGTTAAACATATGGAGTTGAAATACTTTTCCATTAAGGAAGAAGTTCATAAACAAAGAGTATCACTTGAAAATATTAGCACCAACCTTATGATTGCAGATCCATTAACTAAAGGGTTGCCACCAAAGATATTTTATAAACATATTGTTAAGATGGGCATTATAGAAAATTCTTATTAAGTTTATGTTTGTTTGATCTTTATGTCTTTTAATACTTTGATCTCTTTTATTTAGTTTCTAATAACTAGTATTTCTTGTTTATTATGTTTTGTATACATGAATGTTTATGTGAATATTGACAGGATTTGTCTTTTATAAAGACATTATTGTTGGACTTTTATGAGTATATCTTATTATGCTTCATATTAAGTCTAAGATTAGTATCATGATACATGGAAGGAAATATTTCGAACTAATGTTGTATGACCGTCATGATCTATATTAATTTTGTACTTAACAATGAATTCATGATTTGACCAATTTAAGAAAGAGGATTTACATATTGCATTTTATGTTTATAATAATTAAATTATTAATTGAATAATTATATATGGGTCAAGTGGGAGAATGCTAGAATAATTAAATATAATAATTATGCAAGACGTCATAATAATTATTTAAGTATATAGATTTAATTATATAAACTATTAAGTGACCCATATATTTGAATTTATATATATATATATATATATATATATTTGAATTATTAAAATTTAATTATTAATATGATATCCTATTGGTCAAGAAGAGATAATTTGATCAATAGTTTATGGACCGTTTGATCAAATAACTCCTATGAGCAGTTATTATAATTAATCCGTAGGAAATAACTACTGGTCCTCTCTCTCTCTCTCTCATTATGTGATTTAATTTGTTCTATAAAGAATTAACTTATGAAAGAAGAAAGTGAAAGGGAAAAGGGAGAGAAACCGTAGTTCGGAATTCAACGTATTCAACATGAATCAAGGCATGTTTTCTTCCGATTAAAAAGCTTGTGAAAATCATCTTGCTCAAGAACTTGAGACTTAAGATTTATGTAAATTCATGTTTTAGTTTTGATTTCTTTTACATAATTTGGAATGCGAGTTCTGCAATAGTTAGAGAAATCATAATTTATGTTGTGAGTTCTTATAAGAGTTAGAGAACTCATAATGCATGTTGTGAGTTCTTGTAAGAAAGTGAGACCTTTAATCTTACATGAATAAAGTTCTTGTAAGAAGTAAGAGAAATTGAATCTTACACTAATATCTCATTTCAGATGCAAACGTCTGTAACTGCTAATGACTAATACTCACATCAGCAATCGTTAAAGGCCAACGTTGGCAATTGCCATCATTAACAATCGAAGTTGACAACCATTTTCCTCAACAACCAATGTTAGTGCTTGCCTAATTCTAATGGTGGTTGCCACCCATCTAATGATAACTATTGTTTTCCGACATTAATGACCAAAATTCATTTTTCAATTTTTTCTATTTTTCAGGATTTCCGCATACAAAATGCCCGATTTATTTTGGAGCATTCTACAAAAAAAATATATTTCTCATTTGCAATGCAAATTACTCATCCCTGTGCATGAACATCTCACAAAATGCTAAGATGATAAACTTTTTTCTATCATCATAAATATTCTAATAAGCAATGATGAAATAAAAGATAGCTGGCATTGGCTTTCACAACCCAATATTTGAGAAAAGCCCCATGCAACAATATTTAATATGAAACTCTTGCATTTAAATTCTCTTGCAACTATACATCTTATAAGAATTTTACCCTTCATAAATTTGGGGTAATCCCTTTCAACTTAAAATTATAATTCCCTCATCACACAAGGATTTAAAATAAAAAACATGCTTAAGAATATGAATACTTGTTAAATTAGACAAACTTAACATTTCTCTTAAAAGAAATATAAATATCAAGGGTATCAAACAACAACCACGTTATTCACCAATCTGTACTGCCAAGAAACAAGAAGGGGGGAAAAGTAATAATTTCGTATTGAACCAGTGATTGTACAAACGATTTACATACACAATTCGCTTGAATTCAAGGAACAGTGTTTTCACAAATTCATCAATCTCAGTGCATTAATATATCAATACGTATAAATGTTATACTTTGCTTCGGTACAAATATCTCCCTTGTTCTGATTTTAACCACTCGACCAAAATAATTATATCCAGTATAAATTTGGTAGAGCTAAACAGTCTCATAAATCTAAATGTTTATAATCATGGACAATACTAAAGAATAACCAGACATCATAATTAATGATCTTCTTATTCTGTTTACCTGCTCTCGGCTTCCTGAAAGATGCAGCAGACTTTTCTGGCTGAAATTCAAGAAACAAGTCCAAGCAAACAATCAGAAATCCTGAATTTTAACGTCTTCGCTGAAAAAATAAAATCTAATTTCTAATTATTGCTTCTTCTCTGTAGATGCAACTGTAAAACCACAAAATCTTATTCCTATATATCACTCCTGGCTAATTTTTGAGTACCAGAGCTTCTTCTGGCAAATCAAAAGCTTCTCTTTCTCCACACCATACTCGGTGTCTTTTGTCTCACAACGCCATTTCATTCCTCTTGCAATTGTGGAAATTGCATCTATAAAGTAGTCTGATTCCCTAATAATAACATAACCACTAGGACGAAGTATCCTATCCATCTCAAGAAGCACATACTTCATTTCACACCTACAAGAAACAGTAGCCAATCTGTCAGTATTTGCACTCCGTTAAGCTCCAGTGAATTTGAAAAACATTGACCCTCTAAATAAATAATACCTAAAAATTCACTCCAGGATACAACAAAGCAGAATCCGATAGCAAATTATAAGGTAGAAATTTCGTGAGCAAACATAATATACAACACATAGGGTCGTAAGATAATAGATGCATCGAGTGTTTGAATCTTGTTCACAAAATATGGTTTCAACAGATACATAGATATTGCAATAATTACAACTTTTCGAGTCCTAACAATTAGAACTCTTGGCTTACAATATTAAATTAAAATAAATTCAAAATAAGTCAAATTAATTCAAGATTTATTAGGTTCTCGACATGCCCAAATCATGATAAATAAATACTAAAATATGAAAGCCCATTTCTAGAAGCATACAAACATGGCCTAATGAAAGACTAAAAATCTGCCATGTACCATATTGATCATTTACTTGTGTAATATTTATAAAGATTTCAATGTGCAATAATAAGGCCTTATGTCAAATGATTCCTAACAATGAACTTGTAATGGCGCTTCATAATTCCTCAGCGCCAAGCATATAAAATTCTTTAATCTAGTTAACTATTGCTAGGGTCCCAATTAAATCAATATCAAGAACAGTTTAGGTTTCAGGCTTTATGAGTTTTCCTTTCACAACTTGCCTTGCTAGTTGTTGGTTTATGTTGCATTTGCTTCCTTTTTGGCTGTTGCTTCACGTGTTGTTAGTGTGAAATTCCTTAAGTAAAAGAAGCTAAATTCTTAAACATCGAGGCGCCTTTCTGATGTAATTGTTAGAATTTCATTAATAAACTTCATAGTTAAGCGTGTTCATTCCGGAGAAATCCTGGGATGAATTACCTTCTGGAAAGTTATACCAACAAGACAAAATTGTGAGGCCCTTAGCCCAAAGCGAATAATATCTCGATAGTTAAGCGTTTAAATTGTTACAAATTGTAACAGAGTAATACACTAGCCGAAAGATGGGAACTAAGTATCATACAAGACAAAGTGCTACGCCATGGGAGCCACCTCTTAAGCCCTATATGGGACAAAGTGCTATGTGGCGAGAGTCACTAATTGAATTTGTAGGGGCCACCTCTAAAATCCTATCTTCCTAGTGAATGATTCTACGATAAATATGCTGACGAGAATATCAGTTACTTAATTGAGAGAGATTATAAAACCCCTTAAGTAAAATAAGCTAAACTCTTAAACATCGAGACGCCTTTTGGTTTAATTGTTGGAATTTCATTAAGAAACTTCACAGTTAAGCGTGCTCATTCCGGAGAATCCTAGGATGGATGACCTTATAGAAAGTTACACAAACAGGACAAAACCGTGAGGTCCTTAGGCCAAAGCAGAAAATATCTCGATAGCTAAGAGTTTAGGCCGTTAAAGTTAGTCTGTTAGTGATTTTTGTATGTAGTTTTATATCAATGTTGCCATTAAGGCTCATGTTGCTTGTAGATTTCCTTTGCATTATGAGTTTCTAATTCTCCTCAGAATATAAAATGACTCCAAGCTTGTACATTAGGATGTAGATTTTAAGATTTTCATGGCTATCAAATACCTTGATGCTTTAAATAATTGGAATATTAATATTCCAAACAAACACAAAAGACATTCATGAAGTTGTCGATCTCATCAATCAGATCATGACGAAGCAGTCAACTACAAAATAAGATAACCTCCATGCCATTGAATATTTCAATGCAATGACGATCTATTAGGTTAGAACTAGATTAATACAAAGAATCATATATGCCTGTTGGACGATTCTAGGATAAAGATGCTGACGAGAACATAAGTTACTTAAGTGGGGTAGATTATAAAGCCCTTTAAGTAAAAGAAGCTAAACTCTTAAATATTGTGGCGCCTTTTGGTATAATGATTAGAATTTCATTAAAAACTTCACAGTTAAACGTGCTCATCCTGGAGACATCCTAGGATGGGTGACCTTCTAGGAAGTTATACCAGCAGGACAAAACCATGAGGTTCTTAGGTTAAAGCAAACAATATCCTGATAGTTAAGAATTTGGGATATTACAGTTAACCTGTTAGTGGTTTTTGTGTGCAATTTTCTATCAATGTTGCCATTACCGCTCATGCTGTTTGCAAATTTTATTTACTTTATGAGTTTTCAATTCTCCTCTGAACCTAAAATGACTCCAAGCTTGTACATTAGGACGGCGTAGATTTTATGATAATGTCATGGATATAGAATTCCTTGATGCTTTAAATAATTGGAATATTAATATTCTAAATAACCACAAAATACATTCATTAAGCTGTCAAGCAGACCTACTCAAAAGTTAAATATGTCGCTCTCATCAATAAAATCAAGATGAAGCACTCAACAACAAAATAAGATAACCTCCATGCCATTGAATATTTCAATGCAATGACAATCTATAATGTTAGAACTAGATTAATACAAAGATCTCAATCTGAAATATATTGATGATGTTGCACTTCTCAAATAATAGGAAATGAAAAAGGAAGAATGATAGTAATGTTAGAAACACTCAACTCTAAAATTTTGACTACGACAACCATACAAATTCAAGATAAGATACTAATTATCATTGAATATTTCTAAAAAGACTAAAAAGCTTTTTTTCAAAAGAAACATGTGGTGGAATCACTACCAAAAAAAAAGCGTATTAAGAAAAATCTTAAAAACTCCACGAAAAGCTCTAAGGATATGGTGGGAACAAAGAAAACCAATCAATCCAAAGGGCAAGCCAATGTCATTGAAGTAGAAGGGCACAACTCAAAAGAAATGTACAAACTAATAAAATTTCTCAATTCTCTAGAACAACCTTTAGATTCATACTCCTAGCTCAAATAATATAAATTCTAATCCTTGCACTTTTAATACCTCAAATAGTTTTCTTAAAACTTAGAAAATAAATTAAGGAGTCATTGTTCATATGAAAACCCATGTTAATGCTTTTCAAACCTATAAATCTTGTCCCAACAATATAAATAAAGGTAGTTGTAGCTCCTTAACCATTATTGTAGGTCAAGGGAATAACCATTATTGTAGGTCAAGGGAATAACCATATTTCATTTGCATTTAGCCTTAATAATATATTACATACCACTAACTTAGCAATTAATCTACTTTCTATTCATAAATTAACAAAAGTTCATAACTACAAGGTAATATTTTTATTTCTAATCATTGTATATTTTGCGACCTCACCAAGGAAGACGATTGAACAATCAAGAAAAAAAGATGGGATATACATGCCTGATGATAATAACTATTTAAATTGCTCCTTCATGCATACTTTAAATAAAGACATCATTTGGGATCAACATTATATACTTGAGTACCCCTCTTTCAAAATCTAATAATGTATGTTTCCTTAGAGGAGAAATGGAGAAGAAAAAAATCATGATAGAACCATAGATAGGAAACTATGGTTGGGAAGAAAAAAGTTAAAGCCACACCTGAGCAAAAACGAGAGACGTAGTTAAGTAGATCAAAAGGTATACAAAGCCATCAAAACTAAGTAGGAATGCATTTTTAGTGTGAGAAATAATTAAAGAGTAGTAGGATCAACAAACGAATGCTTGGTAAAGGAGCAGCAATATGGTTAGTTTGATGTGATGAAGATCACATGCAAACAGAATTGAAGATAAAGTGACATATGAACTAAGCTCATCAAGGCTTAAAGAAAAGTGATGAGAATAATGAGTGGATAACGAATAGTAAGGTAGCCAAAATTGGATTTTAAGATGTCGCATTGAACTGGAGTGAAAATGATTGAATTAATGTGAAATTTCTTGTAATATATCCATGCACAGATGTTATGTCGATGCATTTTCCGGCTATGTTCAATTCAAGTTCTGAGAAAAATATTTCAAACAAGATTTTAAGCAAGGTGTAATGTCTGGAGAAATTTTTTTGTGTCCAACTCCAATGGAGACACAAAGCCATTTTAATGTGTCCATGCTTCATAGGATGTGCCTAATAAACTAAAGAAATATTTACATATCCAGAACCAACTTGCCTTTGAAAACAAGACTATAGCTAAAGTAGTAATTATGCTAAAGAAATTTTTCGGATTGAATCAAGATATGACTGGAAATATATCATTGTCCAATGATTTTAACCAATCACTATCTAAATTTTATGAATTGAATATTAATGAATTACTACTTAATGATGATAATATGTTATTACTTAGATTCATAGACCATGTTTACATAATTTACCATATTATGTAATGAAACTAACTTGAATGTTGAATTTAAAAGAAAGGTAAAAATGTTTCTTAGGAAATTAGTTATTAGGAAGAGTTTGAGTGCATGAGTTGTGCTTGGATTACTAACACCTAAGAAGGAGAAGAGGTGGAGAATGTGTGTGGATAGTTGGATAATCAATAAAATTGCTATCAAATGGTGAGTCCTCATAACGAGATTAGATGATATAATGGCCATTATACTTGAGGCTAACATTTTATAAATACTTGATCTAAAGAGTGGTTACCATCAAGTAAGGATAACAAAAAAGGATGAATGGAGGAATGGTTTTAAAATGAAGGGATTTTTGTATGAATGGTCAGTAATGCATTCCAAATTAACTAATTTCCTAAATATTTTTATGATAATTATGAACTAAGTCCCTTAACATTTTCTAGAAAATAATTTAGTTGTATGCTTGATGAAATTTTGATTTATAACAAAATTTAGGGAGGATTATTTAATGCAGCTTAAGAAAGTCCTAAAAAATTAAAATTTGAGTAAATTATATATAAATTTAATAAGTGTTGACCCGTAACTGAATAAAAAAAAAGAAAAAAAGAGAGAAATCACATACCTATCGTGCGCCATACCTTCGCACGTCGTGGCCACGACCGAAGTCGCATCTCGCACGTCGTCTGCACGACTCGATCGCGTTGTTAAAGGGTCGAAGGAACGAGACCGCTCGCTCTCTCGTTCGGCTCTGACTCCCGAT